ATGCAATAATTCATCAAATAATTAAAAAGTTTGGAGTTACAATGTTGGAAAGTTGCGAAAGCAAAAACTAGACGAAATTCTGTCTATAAAAGTTCTTTTGTACAGATTTGCCATTTTCGTTGGAGTCAGATGACGTTTAAACCTTGCAAATACGACCAATCTCATGAAGTTCATCAAACCTAGAAAATAATGACAACATACAAAGGAAATAATTGAAAATGCTTTCTGTTTGCGCTCAATTTACACTTGTACAATTTTCACTCCCTGCAAGTATTAGTAATAATTTTGGTATATCTGCATCATTCCATCATGAAGAGTTTATCCGAGTGGGATGGAATCTTTTCCAATTGAGCATTTTGATAACTTGTTATTTGACAGTAATATGAAACTGGAAACATTTTAATTACAATGTTAAGAATCTTAAGGTAATTATGGATTAAACCGTGGGTTGGAACAGAAAAAAAGCAAAGAGTTTGATTTCAATACAAGTTTTGAGCTTTACTGTGAATTCAATGTTAACAGTAATAACATTTGGAAAGAAAGGAAAACTTTATCATTACTATCATTGATATTATCATACTCATTGTCACAATAATCGTAAATTTTTCTTGAACCTTTCAGTAAACTAAAAGTTGTCATTAAAGTTGAAACTGAATTGAAACTCTGTTAAAACAGAAAGCATTATTTATCAGCAAGAAAAGTCTATTTTTTCTCCTCAGAACTGGGATTGATAATAATATAGAGATATTGGATCATATAATAGAAGGTAAAAGGCAAAAGAATTGGGAAATCGTTTCTTTGCTCAACTTTTCCTGTTGATCAATGAATAATGTAATGAATAGAGAAACTCAGTTTTTAATCATCATTATATTCATTATCATTCCTCATTCAATGACTTTTCATGTTAACAATTTCCGTCAATTTTCTCTCGCCATTCACTTTGACTGACCAAGAGAAGCTAATTGATCAAGATTAACAATCGATATCAATTTCAATCTCAAGTTGATACCGAAATAATCTTTTCCATGTTTCAATTCCAATGCTATTAGTTTCAATCAGAATTCAGACAAAAACTCAACTCGAAACTGCAATTAATCGTATTTTCATTGTCAATCTTAAAAGTCGATCGCAAACATTTCGATTTAATAATTGCTAAATGTTTTATTCAAATTAATTTCTTTGAAATTTAAATTCTCGAGTTTTCCATGAAAGACTGAGATTGAAATTCTGTTAAACAATTGAAGTAATTTTCATTTTGTTTGACTTTCCATTATAACAAAGTTTGTTCATCATGAAATACTTTTGGATAATGTACATGATAATATGCATGATAATGAATGGCGAATACAAAAGAATGGAAAATTGAAAAATTGCAATTTTGTTGGTCAACATTGTGATGACATGAAATTGTTCAATGTTAGCGGTCAACAGAACAAAATTCAAATTATGAAGAGAAAAAAATGAAAATGATTTTTGATGTAATCATTGAATGATAAAATTTCATCAAGTAACCATCACAAGCTGAACCTTTCACCATGCTTTTCATCCCTTTTTTGCTTCTTCTTCATATTAAAATGATATGAAACAATAAAACGATATGGAAAAGGTTATAATCATAATAATGGGATAAACTTTTCTGGTTCCTTTGTTATTGTTACATTTCACTTCTGGTTATTTTTCACACTTTTTTCCCTTCCCTGTCCAAGGATTTCCTTTTAATAATAATTCTGCAACAAATACAGATTATTGACAAATATATTACATTTATTTATCATAACGTTTGTTTTCATATCTTTCTTTTTATATCGTTTACTTTTCAGTCTCACCTGTCTTTACTCACTTCGTTACCTTTTCCTGGTTTCTATGATAACTGTTGATAATGATGATATAAGTTTCATTTCAACATCTGTAAAAATAAATATCAAACAAGAATCAATAATGCATTTCGTTTTTCCTTTGCTTTTCTCGTCGGTAAAAAACAAACAAGTGATAATTATTTGACAATTCATTTACATTCAGATTCACTTGAAAGACTCTTGAATAATTCAGTTTATCCAGGTAAATGGTTAAAGGTTCAATTGTAAAATCACAAGACATGCAACTGATTTAACTTCAAGATTCCCTTTTCGACTATTTCAATGACCAAAGTCAAAGGTTTTTAAGATTTTTACCAAAATAAATCTTGAATTATCAAGTTGAAACAATTGAGTTAATCTTCTTTCAGTAGCATTCTTGAGGAAAAAGCGATTGTTTTAGTACTTTGAAAAGCATTTTATTCATTAAGACATTCGATTCTGTGGAAAAATTGTTCAATAAAAGTTGGACGATTCAGCATTCCCAGTTCGATTGATATTCGTACTCAACAGAACGAGGTGAAATGATGAATTTTGATGAGTGAAAATACAATGAAATCTCTTTTGCAGACACCTTTGAAACTCCCTGAGCCCACGCATCAAGGCTTCCAAATTGAACTTATTTTTAGATACCATTGATATCTTTTTAACCGATTTTGTTTTCAAACTTGAAACGATTTTTTGAAAGATGAGTGCTAAGCGGATGGACAGAAAATTGAACGATTTTTAATGTGAAGGTTTGGTAACGAGATTTAAAAAGATGAATTTTTTGCTTATTTACATATTGATCGAGCAATTATTCATGAGACAATTGAAATTACTAATTTACAGTATTCAGTGATGTGTTTTGATGAGCAATTGGAGTTGCAACTGGGAGTTGAATTTAAGCTAAAAGAGTTTTTGTCCTTCTTTTCTCATGTTTTTCAATTCTTTTGACATTCTTCTTGTCTCCAAGTATTATTGAAATAAACTGTACAAAAGTGCTAAAAGGTTTAAGTGAAGCTCACAAAAGTTTCCCTAAGGAGGTTACAAGCTGAGAATTGTTGGGAATTTTTTCCCTCCCAGCACCTGTTTCGCTTATATCTTGAAATTGTTCACTCTTCTTTATCATTTTTTTTCTCTCTCCTTTACTTGTTTTACTTTTTGAAACAATCATCTATCATGAATAAGATTAAAGTTTATCAAATGGAAACAGATATTCTGATGGATAAACTCATCCATTATGAAACAGAACAAAGATTAAAGTGAAAATGTGAATTTGCCCAATCAATAGACATTGTTTTATCAAATTGTTAAGGTTTCAACAGTTTTTCAAAATTAGCATTCTTGTGGTCTGAAGTATCATTTTTTCAACCTGGAAATTCAATCTTTTCCTTGGTCAAGTTATCTAATGTAATTGAACAATTTTAATATTTATGAACATTGCATTTAATTGAATAGTGCGCCTTTAATCTGTAAACTTGTTGTCACTGACAACTTGTTTCCCTCGCTACTTGTAATCATGATTCATGATACTTACGTTATGTAAGCATTTTCAATTGTCTTTGTTTCTATTTGGTCGATTGTTAATTTAACGGTTTTATATTTGTTTTGTATTTGCTTTATTATTTCTGTTCACCAACTACTGTTGTGTTCAACTTAATTGGTGCTCTAAATAAACATCTCAACTTTTGTTACTTTATTTCTTTTCTCTTGTTCAAGTTGATATTTTCTTTAGGCTTTAAGGTCACCGTCATAATTAATTTGGAGAATGTAAACTGTTAATGCTCAACTGGGCTGATTAATTTGTTAACAATTGGATTCTATGCTAGTCAGCCATTGTGAAGATTCAATAGTTACAATTTAATCAATTGGAATAATGGTTTTGACGAGGAAACACGAAAAAGTCTAACACTGTTTTTGCTGGTTGATGATTCAAATTTTCTTGGTTTTTCTCACATGGCTTTTTCTTGAATCTCGTCTGGGTTTTGTTTCAACTAGTTTTAACTCGACATTTTATGAGAATGATGATTATCTAGGAAAGGAAACCAAAAGAGGAATCAAGAGAAAGGCTAAACAAAAATGGTTCTTCATCTCGTTTTTCTTGGTTAACTTCTTTTGTTAACATGATGATGATAATTAACTTCAAGTTGATGCAAGAAGAAAGCTGTGCAATTATGATTGGATTAATTAGAGCAAGCAAAAGGATGAGATTGAATGTTTGCTAAATGTTTACCATGGGATCACCATAAAGAATCAAGATTGTAAAAATATGGTTTGAACAAGTTGCAGGCCCATGGAATCGTCAATATTATTTGAAAATAAGTTAATTGGAAAGCATCTCTCGACCATTAAGCTCAACCCAAAAACTTGAAACATTTAAAGCCAAGCCATTTTGTGAAGAGTTGAGTTGATGAAAAAATATTCAACCTTTGAAGTAAAATTGAGTCAAAGGTTAGATGATAAAAAATAGAAACTCAAAGTGGAAATGCAATTTAGTTAATAAAATGTAATTATCTTATTACCATTATTTACGCCAAATTGGAATCAAACTTTTGTTTTTATTTTTACCTTCTCGGTAAATTATACCCATTAACCTGACAGCTGAACCCTCACATTTAATAATAATGCCAGCATTTATTAGTTGAACATCTCACTTGAAAAGAAACCTTCATTTCTATCTCTCTGAATTCATATTATACACTTGAATTTATTTGAAATGAAAAAGCTCTTTTTTTTGTTAACTTTTATTATGCCTTCTCTTTACCTTTTCATTATCTGAAAAGGATTAAATTGTAATTTGAAAAAGCAAATGAGAAAAGTAAATAACAATTCTAATGATGATGATTGTTCAATTTAAATTGCAAATTGTGATGACAGAAACATATTGATTTGACTGATTAGAAGGATAGACGAATAAGTTATAAATCTGATTCATTTTATAACTGGGTTTCATCATTGGATTATGTGTATCATCATGAAGATGGTTAACTTTCATATTGTTTTCACCATAATTTGGCTTCTTTTGCATTTCATTAATCTCAATAAAATATTATGCTTCAATTGAAATTCAACTTGATATTATCATTATATGATGTATAATGTGCAATGGATATTTTTACCTTTCAATTCAACCTGAAACGTAGAAATATTTTTTTCCAGTTGATGTACAAAAGTTTTTTTCATTTATTCATCAGATAATACATTGAATTGAACCTGTTTTTCCCTAGCTTTCATTTTCTCAATTTCATTTGCCTTGAGCAGTTTAACTGAAACTGATTACTGACGATTACTTTGATACATTAGTAATTTGAATGTTGAATAAATACAATAATGTGATGATGCCAGGAAAGCCATTTGAAGAGATTTTTTTCCTTTTCCTTTCTGCTTTCAAGCTTCATTCTTGACACCCATTCAGATTGTTCAATCATTTTTCAACATTTCCAGATCCAATGCTTTGATTTTGTATTCCTGTTGACTGGGAGTTTTGTTTCGCCTCTTTTCTGGTTAATTGTTGATAAGCTTTACTGTCAAAAATGATTATCATTGTTGAAAAGCTGTGGAAGTGTAACAATGAAAATGTTATTAGATAAAATTGATGTCGGCGTCATTTTTACCTTGATTAACTTGATTCCTTGTTTACCCAATCAATGAAAATGAAAAATCAATTTTCACTCCAATCAATCAAAGAGTGTAAAAGGTAATTTAATAAGGAAAGCAGAGGAGAAACGTTTTTTTAGGCAGCTTTACTTTTCCTTTTCTTGCCATAACCAAAATTCAATCACAATTTGATGATGATGATAATTTGATAAAAAGCGAGAGATGAAATATTTTTGAAATTTGATCAAAAAAGACCTGAAAGAAAAGGAGAGAAAAAAAGAAAGTGATGAAAGTTTAAATTGTGAAAGTGAATTCAATCTTTTACGCTTCTTCTCAATGAATCAAAACAATTTTAGTTTAGACATTTCGATTAAAATTTTCAATTGAATTCAACCAAAGATGAATATGTATTAATTCAGAGAAATGAACGTAGAATGAATTTCGTATAAACTGTTTTCTTACATTTTACTTGATTTTACAGATATCTTATGCATCCACATCAACTGCCCTCTCTGACAAGAAGAGGTATGAATTTTTTGCACGAACTGTTCCGCCAGACAAATACCAGGCTAGAGCATTAGTTGATTTCATCGAGCATTTCAACTGGACATATGTGAGCCTGATAAGCTCGGAGGGACAGTACGGTGAGTCTGGAAGCAGTGCCTTTCGAACCCATGCTCGAATGAGAAACATTTGTTTTGCTATACAAGAAAAGGTTGTCCAATCTGCCAATGATACGGAATATGATCGAATCATTGAGAGTCTTAAGCGCAAGTCGACTGCTCGAGCAGTGGTTCTCTTCCTTCGAATGGAGGATGCCAAGGGTCTCTTGAAAGCAGCTAAACGTGCCAATGTGACCAACAGTTTTACCTGGGTTGCTGCTGATGGCTGGGGTAAGGAGATGAAGGTTGTTCAGGGTGTTGAAGATGTTGCTCTTGGAGCCATTACTGTTGAATTATCATCCACTGTGATACGTGAGTTTGACGACTATCTGTTGAAGTTAAATGTTAAAAATAACCGTCGTAATCCGTGGTTTAAAGAGTTTTGGCAAGAAACTTTTAAATGTGACCTTGCACCCCGATCCTTATTGACATCCATGTCTTCTTATAAAGCAAGAGAAACTGATAATGAATATACTGCTTGCTCACCTCATTTAAGCTTACGTGATGTAACAGATTATCGTCAAGAGTCGAAGGTTCAATTTGTCATTGACGCTGTCTATGCTTTTGCTCATGCAATTCACAATGCATGGTTAACATTGTGCTCAGGTAAAGGAACCATTTGTCCTGAACTCAGGGAACTGGATCCAGAAGTTTTCTACAAACATTATCTTCTCAATGTGGCATTTACAGGTTAGTCATTTCACCATCCAATGTCGTTCTCATAACAGATTCAATACAAGAGGTTAAAGTTGATTCAAATTCATCAATCACAAATTATAAAATCAAAAGAAAAAACACCAATTATGAAATTAAAACAAAAACCAAAGAAAAATTAGTTAATTTTTCATTTTAAATCAAGTCACATGAGAAAATTTGCCGCCTTGATGACATATGATCACAAGAGTCTAGAAAATTCAAAGGCGCCCGACACCACGCATGCTCTAGTACTTGATCTTTTTGCGACCATTTAAAAAGTTGAGGAACTTTACTTTTATTATTTGATTTTTTCATGATGTTTTTCATTCATTGCAGACAAAATTTTCGATAAAAAATATCAAGTCTTTGAACAAGAAATCAGAAATAGTTGCTTAAAATTTTTAAAGTTGTTCTGCATTTCCCGCCTTTGCATTTCTAGACTCTTGTCACATGATCAAAGGTTTAAAAATTATGAAGCAAGAGTTGTTTTTTAAACCGTTAGTTGCTTTATTTTTCTAGAAACGACTTTCTGTTTAAAACATGTTATTATTCAGTTAAATTAATTTGTGTTTACAGTTTTTAATTTTCATCAGTTTTCGTTAAACCGTTTCATTAAGGATAAAGATTATGTGATAAGCTATGATTATTCAAGATGTAATGGCGAAGAAAGTTTTTCAATTTTCCAGGGTAATTATGCTATAAGATTGGAAATAGTAAGTTTTAATGTCTTTTGATTCTTTTGGTTTTATTTTTTCATTCATTTCTTTTTCACTTTTTCTTCTAAATTTAGCTTTTCTAAATTAGACTGTATTGTCTTTGGGTACCCTACGATGTTATCAAAAGGCTAATGTTAACTTTAAAAAGTTGTGCTGAATGGCTGATAATTTACATGCTCTTAGGTCAGATGAAATAAACAGAAGGAAACAGAAATCAATGGCAATAATTTGGACGGGTCATTGGTTAACTTTTCTTTTATCCTGAATTCATCTTTCCTATCTGTTTCCTGTCGTCACCATCATTATTCCAAGTCAGTCATTTCAATGAGGAAACTTGAGATCAACATTCAGAGTAGAGGCAAGGATCAAAGACAACAAATAAATGTGAATAAACGTTGAATGAATTGAAACCAAAATGTTGTGGATTGTATTATAAGGAGATGCTACTGTTTTTGTAAATGAAAAGAGGGAAGATGCAAAAGCAGACGGAAAAATCATCATTCTTGTTATTCTCGTTCACAATACTTTTATCAAGTGTATAGTATAATAGTTGTAGCTGTTGGATGCTACTCATGCTAACTTTAGAGAAGTAAAGAGAAAGAGAACGAGAAAGAGAGACAGATTAATGGTTGTACTATTATCATGATTCCCTGTAGATGAAAAGAAAACCTGAAGCAAGAAAAAATGGAGAAGGAAAAGATATTGTCCTGATTATAAAAGGATTGATTGTCTTTGAATTACCTGATATTAAAGCCAACCAGAGATGGGCAACATTTTCATAGTCAAAGAGATTCAACAATCAATGAGAAGGAAGATTGGAAAGGATGAAAGCAGGGAAATACCTTCTTCAAGAATCATCCATTCTCTTTTATCTGATTCTTTATGAATTTCAGTGCATCGTAGTAAATCCAATGGATTTAGTTCAATCAGTTTATTAAGACCACAAGAGGAAAAGGAAACTTGTGTCCATCGAGTCAATTGATTAAGTTAATGCTGTTGATGAACAAGACAGGAGCTAAAAATTATTTATTTCATCTTAATTCTGCCCATATTTCAAATGGTATACTTAATTGCTTAGCATGTGTCCCAAGCAACTTCAAATTTCAATCAAATGCTGAGGAATCCTTAATTTCTAGAATTACGGTTAATCTACTAAAGCTGACATCTTTTCTTTTGATTTAGTTTAAGCAGATTGAAATCAGTATTTTGAGCAGAAAAGCTTATCCTCTACGAAATTGCTTTCTAGGCGATTTTGCTATTTTAGCGTTTTCAGCATCCTGATCTTAATTTCACCTTATTGATAGTGAAAAAACAATTCCAACTGATTTTGGACATTTCGGTTTTTTATTAAGTTTTCTTTTTTGGTAACATTGATAACAATCATGAAACAGTTAAAATCTGTTCAGAGTTGAACTATCATGCAGTGATTTATGATTGTTATCAGTGAAAGCTCAACATCTTTAGTTAAGATTAAACTGTTTACAATTGTGATCTTTTTTACAACTTTAACAACAAATGATGTTAAAATAAATCAGATTGTGTGTGTTAAAAGACATGAACATTTAGTTAACCACTCAAATTAGTGATTGTCATTGATTTGATAAATTGAGTGTTCTCATGAACAGAAAACATTATTTACTAAATTGAGTTGATATTGAGCTCATTTTTATCCACTTTTACATGTATTTATTTCTTTTTTCACCTTTTTCCAGGATTGAGGCTACTGATATTCCAATGAAAAATAATCGATAAGAATAAATCTCATGTATGCTCGCAACGACATGAGTGACTTCAGTACAAAACGAGAGGAAAATCAAATCGATCACAAATTTAAAAAAGAAATGAGTAAAAAGCGAGAAAAAATTACATATTCGATGAGTTATTTTCCCTTGTTAGTATGATTCTTGGAGATTCCGTTTTTCTCAATTCTTTTCGTTACTTAAATGTTAACTTGTAATTTTTCCTGATGTTATCAAAAAACTACCAGAGGTTCAAGAAAGTGTTTCCAGCTGACTTGATGTTAAGTGTTCATCTTTGGTCAGCCATAGCACAGCATGTAAATCTTGTAAGATTCGTCCATGATTTTTCCAACCTCTGAATTCATGAAAATATGATTTGATCTATTGATAAATAATTGAATCTATTATTTGGAAATTTCCAATCAAAAAAGGTTTGGAAAGCTTGACAAATGTAAAGTTACTAAAGTTTAATACAGTTATTTCCTGGCAAAGAGCTTGAGTATTTGTTAAGTATCAATTCAAGAAAATCGATGAATTAAATTGTCGAAACTTTCATGAATTATTTTCTCTAGAAATCGAGAAACATCAACTTATTGATTTGAATTTTCTTTAAAGTCTTTGCTAAAAAAGTGACTTATTTTGTTCACCATCGCCATCTCACGAAGAAAATGTTTAATCTAATGAAGAGTGACTTGCTGTTTTTTTCCCTAACCAAATTAGATTGATTGAGGGATTATTGAAAATCTTCATGTGACATTGAATCAAATCTCTAACACATTTTACCCTTCAAATTATAATATAAATCATTCAGCTAATATTTTCTCATGTATTTTGTTTTTCAGATTTGGAAGGCTCTGAGGTTAGATTTGATGAATGCGGTGATGGACTTGGACGTTATAATATATTCAATTTTCAAAGTTTGGATTCCAATTCAAGTACATATGGATACGTTCGGGTGGGCCAATGGCGAGATAATGAGCTAAACATTAAAGAGAATACAATTATCTGGGATTCCTTTAGTTCTCAAGAAATACCTACTTCAGTTTGCTCTGAGCCCTGTAAAGTAGGCGAGATTAAAAAAGGTGGTGATCTCTCTTGTTGTTGGATTTGCCAAGAATGTAAACCATGGGAGATAGCGGTCAATGAAACTTCATGTGTTCCCTGTGATGTGGGAATGTGGCCATTCCCCAATAAATCGAGTTGCTTCGAACTACCTCTTAAATATATTCGTTGGTACCAACCTTATGCATTTATACCCATGTCCATTGCCATTATTGGGATTATCACGGTTCTTTATCATTTCACTATTTTTATTCAACACGTAAATACTCCCATTGTTAAAGCTTCAGGACGTGAACTGTGTTACGTTTTATTGGCTGGAATCGCCTCTTGTTACGTTATGGCTTTCATAATACTCACCAAACCAACTTATGCTACTTGCCTTATTCAAAGGCTCGGGGTAAGATTTGCTCAAATTAATCTCCTCTTACAATCTGATCCAAAAATTTAATTGAATCTCGTTTTTCCCAAAAGATCGGTGTCTGCATATCAATGATCTATGGAGCAATATTGACCAAAACCAATAGAATATCTCGTATCTTTCATAGTGCCCGACGATCAGCTCGTCGACCTACATATATCAGTCCAGTTTCTCAACTTTGTATAACTGGTATAATTGTTTTCATTCAGGTAAATATAATTTTCCTTCCTCCTGCTTGTGCGTTATCTAAAATCCTGATAAATGTTTGAAGGGAGAGCCAAATGACCAGAAATGGGATTGAGTTGATTCTTATCTATTGAACAAACATGTTACAGGATTAATGAAGTATTAAAATCCGATCAAAATTAAGATCTAGTCTGAGTAGCGGTGGATCAATAATTTGATTAAAGCTGCATAAGAATGAAACTTTCTGCCACTTAAAGAATCAAATTTTGATTCGAATGGTTAATTTTCATAAGATGAACCTAAAAAATAGCAAGTTCTAATAGCATTAAAATCTTAAGTTAAATATCTTCCAAACTTACCGTATCCGCGTACTCTTATTGATCGCTGCATTACTGAGAGCACCGTGACATCATACACACAGATAGGGTATCTAAAATTTCTGGTCAATTTATGGCGTTATTTGAGTTTAAGAGACTCATTTTTACCTTCAAACTTATTCACAGTCATCTATCTAATTTTGTTTGTCCGAAAACATTAATTTATTTATTTTTTACAGATTTGTTTAAATATTTTATGGTGTATTGTTGAAGTACCTGGAGTAAGACATGAAGTATCAGAGAAACGTGATGTAGTGGTATTAAAATGTGCTGTAACCAAAAATAGTGTCCTCGTTAGCCTTATTTATGGTTTTGTTCTGGTTGCTACATCAACCTATTATGCCTTCAAGACCAGAAAAATACCAGAAAATTTTAATGAAACCAAATTCATTGTTTTTACCATGTATGCCACTTGTATTATATGGATAGCCTTTCTTGCCATCTATCTTTCAACTGAAAATAATTTTGAGGTAAGTAAACAAATTGCTTGGAGTAACAAGCTACCAGATTAGTTGCACACAACCATCATCATGAAATTTCACCTTTCCTCCCATTCCACTTCCTTGTGTCCAACAAATTTCTTTAACCTTAATCTCATCTATTTCTCATCATGGACAGGGATAAGAGGTTTCCTAAATTACTGGTCAATATAACATAATTATTATCAACCATAATACCAATGAGATAATCAAAAGATCAAGTTTAGTCTTTAATATGGGTAAAAAAGCGACTATACTGATTTGATCCGGGTCTCATTCAATAAACTAGTTAACTTGAGTATTTTATTACATGAATGATTCTGAAGAGCCATTGATTATCTGGATATAAAACCATTTGAATATCATTTAAACATGACCTTAAATAAACTGTCCCAAAGGACAAGACAATTTAATCTGCCGGTTAATTTCACCATTTTCAATTCATTGGTCCAACTTTCCAATTCAAGTTTCTTGCATTTTCCAAATTTAATTGATCAAATTGGGAAAATTTGACCTTTTCAACCAAAAAATGACCCAAATTGTATCCAACGAAAAGCTGCAATTGTTTATTAACGTTGCCTTGGTTTGAAAAGACAAAAAATGACGATTCAAGTCAACCCAAAATGTATTCAATGCAAGTCTAGATTCTCATCATCTATCTGTCTGATGATTATGATCCAATGTCAACAGTTAATGAACCAATAGCATGTTCAAATCATCTTTCATGAACAGATATACGACAATAAAAATAATCATCATGAGTTTGTCTCAAAATAAATAGAAAAAATTTTGTCCCCAAGAAGAAATAAAATGTGAAAGAAGGAATAAGATGGAGAAGAAAAAAGGGAAAAGAGTTACTCATCCTGTCCAAGATGAACTCTCAAAAAGATGATGAAGATGTGATCCGTTAACCCATTATGCCTTGATACTTGCTCAATTTATCAATGGTAAACAAACAAAGTTCTCATATATTTTGTTGTTGCTGTTGCTGCTTCATCATCATCATCATCTTGATCATATTTTTCCTCCTTTTGTTACTTTCCATTATTTCTGTTGGGTCCGATTTTGTCTTGATAATTTATCTGAAATACACTCCCCAATGAGACTTCCCAATGATTTTGCTTTCCAACTTTTTTCTTCTTCTTCTTCTGATTATCTAGAAATCTGTTTCCTTCAGAATTGCATCGCAATAACCAAAAAACAATCACAATCAATATATAAATGATGACTTAACATGTAAAATTGTGTGGTCGATTCGCATTTACATTGAAATGAGGAAAAATCTTGATGGTTAAACCAATTGTTGACCATTTATGAACTTATTGATATAAATCGCAATCGTTTTTCAATTTAATGATTGTTGTTGAAGTTGTTGAAATGCTTTGAACTCAAGATTAGCTTTGTTACGGTAAAGCCAAGAGCAACTCCAAATTGACTTAATTTATGACAAGATATAATTAACCAGGTTGATTAATTTCTCATTGGGCTTTTTGTTTATGTGCTCATTGGATTACATTTAATGACTTGCTCAACAGTCAAAATTAATGATAATGGTTCACCATTTAACAACCATTTTACCATAAAGTCAAGAACAAAAATGATAACCATCAATTTAAACAGTTAATTGTTTCACGTTTTAACAATGGTTCAATATCATGTATTACATGGATTGAGATATTGAAAAATGTAAACTTGAAATGTTGATCAATAATTTTGGTGGCAAAAAAGGTCAATTTTAAATGTCTAAACAAGGTTGACTAAATCAGATTCAAGAATCATTGAAGATTGTCAATCTAATTGTTGATGCTTTCAATCAGCCTTAATCAAGTAAAGTCTTATTGCATATGATGAGGTAAAAGAGTAGATTCTTGAATTACATTTAACCAAATGGAAACCAATTAATGAGTTATTTCAATCTAATCAGAGGTAATACAAATGTACTGAACAAAGCATCAATCTTGAATCTCATTTTGTTTAATTTATTTGCTGATTTTTTCCCTTTCCTAGTTTGCTATTTATCTACTCAAATTTAGTTAACCTTTCCCTTTATGTTGAATATTAAATTGGTTTGGTTGTAGTCAAATTGATGTTAACCGTTATAATGATGATGGTAAAGTGAATTGTTAATCATCGAGAATGTTATTGTTTCGCTCAGTTTTTTTACTCATTTACTAATGTTTGTTATTTTTCTTCTTCTTCTTCTTCTTCCCTCAGATTCAATTGACAACATTAGCAATGTCACTAACATTAAGTGGTTATGTTTGTTTGATTTGTTTATTTTCACCCAAAATTTACATTATACTTCGACATCCAGATAAAAATGTCCGCAAGTTAACAATGAATAGTGGGACTTACAAGAAAGGACCCTCAGGATCAGGTTATCCTCAAGAGACTCCACCACCTTATTCACCAGGACCATCAAATTCAGCACCTAATCGAAGCTTGCCTCCAACCTCGTATGGTAAGTGGTTTTACTTGTACAGTAAATCCTCGGTTAATGCATAACTCAGTTAATGCATAAAACAGCTCCACCTATTGTTAATTAGTCATTAATAGTCTAATTTTTAGTGTAAAATTTGATGAAAAAACAACGCCATCTTTCTGATTTTTGCTGGAAGCTTAACCCACATTTTTATGCATTAACCGAGGACTTACAGTATTGATATTGGCCAGTCTTGCAACTTGAGGTTAAAAACTTGAGCTTATTCCATCTTCAGTTTGGTGTTGCTTTTAAAGTGCTCCTGGTTCAGTTGCAGTTATTAATATATCCAAATATACTCTCATTATCATAGATAAATTGGTAAAATCACGAATAATACTATTCACATTTGATTTGATTATGCAGCAATCAAAGGAAGAAGCAAGAAATTATTCCAACTCAATTCAGACATTAACTTTGGATAAAAACTTAAACCTTTCAAGCCTTTAATGTTTACATTTTGAGGTTTCATCAAATCTTTCTTGTTTCTCCTTCCAGTCATTCACTCATTGACTTGATCAATATTTAACCATAATGGTCTAGTCTTGGTTAAATTAGATTATGTTGAAATGGTAATTTCATGAACAGGTTTAAGACATACGAAAGGAAAGGGTTTAATTGTAAACCATTGCAATAACATATTCGCTTTTTAAGTGATTAGCTTAAAATGTTCACTTCTACTATTGTAGAGATTAAATTGCTGTCTGTAATTTAGACCAAAACGATCCCTCGAGTTTGCGTGCCTTTACTTGTTTACATTTTAATGAACGAAATTATTTTCTTGTTGATTTAAACAATAAAAACTTAATCAAAATTAATTTAAATAGTTCTGTAGCCTCTGTGTTTGTAATCTTGCAGTTAAATTTGATTAAAAACACAAAATTCCCAATTAATACAGTGTTGCTACGAATTGCTTGGAGACTCTCTTTCCAAAGATTGAACTCAAAACAAATATGAATAACCAGAGATCAGAGCAGAACAAGTTGGAATTTGATTATAATAGAAACAAAACATGAACTAAAACAATACTGAAATTACATTATACATCAAAATTGTAAATTGTAAATCAAAAATGATTGAAAACGAAATTAAAATGTTAGCTAAGTGAGTTTTGATCTTTGATCAATTTTAAATCAAACCTAGAAAAGTTGCAACTAGAGTTGAATATCAATCTTTTAATCATAAATTGCTTACGATTCTAATGCATTAATTTGTTTCATCAACAGGAGCTTGCAATGATCAGCCAAGCTTTTCATCTTCTGGTGGAGTGGTCAAGAATCGTGGTAAAGGTAAAAAGAAACGGTCAAGTTTAACTGGTCTCGATGATAAAGGGATTCTTATTAAAGATGATAGTCAAGCTCTTCCATTGACTGAGATTAAACGAGATAATGGTAAACCAAATGGTGACGACGAGGATGCTGCAAGTGACGAAGAGGAAGATGAAGAGGAAGATGCCAAAGATGATAGTTCAGCTGTATTGTAAATAACAAACGGAATAGCAATATTAAAGAGTAACAAGCAATATTCACTCAACAAGCGACCATTTTAATTCATCAAACTGAATCTCAAGTCAACCTTGCGTTAAATAACAATAGCAAGAGTTACATCAATATCACCACAATAATAATAGTAATAATCATCATCTTTAACCATCTCTCATCTGCCTCTTCCAGATCTGTTTTTGCTTTTGATAAGCCAACCTTACTCTCTCTCTCTTTCTCCCCTTTCGATTCAATTTTTATCATTAACCTGATCATCCAATGTCAGACCAAGTACTTTTATCAATTACATCTATTCTTAAAGATGTCTATGTATCTGTATTTTTGCCATTTCCTTTCTTTATTCTCTTTTCTCTTGTTGATCTATCATCAACAATTCAATTATTTAATTATGCCAAGACAATAATGGTGAGAGAGAAGTAATCATCAATGACGACCAGAATCAACGTTTTCATCCGCTTTCGCATGGAGTGAACAACATTGCCCACGGCGTCTGTGGATTAAACACCCAAACCAACATTTTCATCATCACCAACCTAATTACCAAAATCATCAACGTCATGGACATCATCAAACCTTTTCATAATTAACATGCATATCGTTATCAAAACATTCCCAACTCAAAGATTATTCAACCCCAAAAAAGGATAATTAACTTATCATTCTCATAATCACACCAGAAGCAGCAAAAGTATCATTCACTTCACCAATATTTCCTTAATCTAAGCACAAATTGAAACCGGAATCTACAATTTTGCTGTTGAAACAGCAATCAATGTCTAAATCAATCAAAAATATAAAAAAAACAACTCAACTCAAGTTCGAGTTTTTGTTGAGTTTGTGAATCACAAATAACAAAAACGCTTTTTTATCAACTCAATTAATATTAGACATTTTTTGATTTAATTTTCGACTCAAATTATTACGGTTTAAATTGAAATCAATCAGTTGACGGAGTCAACTATTAAATTTATTAAAATGGCAATCGAATAGAAAAATGTTACAAGTGAAAGTAAATGGATCGATCTCTACGAATAAATAATCAAAATCAGTTTGATATGAATATTATTTATCGAAGTCTATGTTACTTTTAGATCTTGTGATCTATGAGTTGACTCAAGAAGCCGATAGTCTGCATTCGTCGATTTGCTTGGTTTTTTATTAATCAATATTTACATAGCCGGGACATGCAACGAACAACATGCTTAGACTTTGTTTGCATGTAGACATAATAATGTTTACGTTTAATGCATTTGTAATTTATGGCGCACAGCTAATAGAAAGTTATATTTTATCTAGACTTGACTTCACGAACTATCATTGTTCGATATCTATAAATATTTGAATGTAACGGCAACATACCAAAGTGTGCAAAGTTTTTTTCTAACAAAAGACAGCCAGTGTCATCTATTATTGGAAAAAATCAACTCTTTAACCTCATGAAAAAGTTTTCGAAAAAAGGTTCGAGAAATTGAAATCGAATAATTTGAAAGATTTTGAACCAGTCGAATCGAATTTCGGTAGTAAGGTTTGGCACTAAATTTGTCGATATAAAACATATGTATTGTAAAGGAATAAAAAATTGCGCCGAATAACTTTTATTTGAAAGTTAGTAAAATACATTGTATCATTAGTTATCATTACGAATACTATATTTCAATGCTTCATTTTTCTTAACAAGCATTCCTTTAATGGTTTAATATCACCAAAATTATTGGTTTCAATATGATACAAGATTAGCTGTTCTGTTCATTAGCTTTAGCTTATTCTTTTATTATCATTTCTACTCTGGTGATGTCTTTTCAGAATCTCCATCGGATCTGAGGCTTATGTCAGCCAGCCTTTCCTTACTCCTGAGAGTAGCTTTTTTATTCCTAGTCAGTATACTGGGTATTTTTATCCTTGACGATCGTTCGTGCTGCTAGTTCGAGAACCGAATCTTTAATCAAAATGAGAAGTCAAATCTTGATTATCTTCGGTCAGAAGAATTCCCGAAATTGGAGAATCATAAATTCGAACTCTCAAGGTTACTCAACTATGCGACCTCCAATTTAAATTTCAAGGCTCAATTCAAGTCTACTTTGATTAATTTTTCATATTGATTGTGAAGCAGCATCAATCGATGAAGTCTCGAAGAAGATTTTTTATTCAAGATTATTGAAGAATTGTTTTGTCACCCTTTTGGTGCATATTCTAATCCTTGATAAATATCTCTGAGTTCAACCGTTAGTCTTGTAACGACACAAGTTAGTCCCGTATTGCCGCTATTGCTGGCAGTGTTTTACAGATACTCGACACTGTCAACCAAAATTATGCAAACATTGAAAACAAAAATGATTTTCATCGATTTTGTTCCAGACGTGTTTTTATTACATTAGCTTTCGTTAGCATTGATAAATACAAAAGCATGGGCTGTTAATAAATGGTAAAGGGTACATTATAAACCTCAACAATTTTAGGCTAGCCAAAGTATAGAAGTTCAATTATTGAATTGATACTTGTGCATCTTTTATTGAACATTATGATGCTGCTTTTTAAATCTTAATCAATCTTTGTTACAATTTTTAACTTGTTCAATTCATCAATCACTTCACTTGACAATTTTATCCAAAATTTGTTTGTAAAGATTGAAAAATTCAAACGCAGTTTTCATTATGATCGATAATTTATTTTCAAAAAGATCATACCATGACCCTGAAGAAATCTACAATTCTAATTGCATCTTAAACTAATCAATTATTGATAGAACTTTATTCTCTTTTGAAATAAACATTGGTTGAAAATAATGCTAATAACTGAATGTCTCTACAGGTATACGGATATAAAATAAAAAATGAATTTGTGTTCTTTTATGAGATTCATTACAAAATCTGTTGAAAGATCACCCAACAAAATAATCTATTATGCATGTATTATATTGAATTGATTGATCGACTTTAGCTAAAAATTTGCTAATTTTACCCTGATTCAATGCAAATGATTCAGTCTGATCAGATCATATTTTACTATAAAAGGTGAAATTATAAAGATTGAAAAAAGTTACTCGTTATAAACTTGAAATGTGCGAAAGCGGTTTAAGCATCGAATTCATGGTTGACCATAAACCAAACGGAATATTAGCTCATTCCCTTCAAACGGCAAGTAAAACTAGATTAATATTGATTCAAGTGGGGACCTTGTTATCATTTTTAGATAGCATGTATCACTACATGCATATTAAATCGGTAAAAGGTGATATCTTTCTCTTTTTGAGTTTCTCCTGGAATAATCTTCATAAAGTTTTCTACTTCTTTATTGGATTCTATCTGATATGGAAGCGGTCAAACTACAACGAGTTCATCAACTATTTGGATAGCGAAATCAGCATACGATGTCAACGTCCAACGATAAAAAAATTTATCCGGAAAAACCGAAAGTTCTTCTCAATGTATCTGATATCATACACATTGTATCTATCAATGTTCAGTTTGTATTTAGCTTATCATGATTATCTAAAAACAAAGTCACTCTACCAAATGGCAATGACTTTTGCCATTGAACTTTGCAAAGCCCTGCTTCATATGAGTAATCTTGTTTTTGTTCAGTTCATCGTCGAATCTTGTCTTTATGCACAAGTTTATTTCAAAATTGTGCATCAAGATATAAACTGTTTGAAAAGTTCAACTAGTCATATAAATGCTGAACAAATTTATAAAGTTCGTAAGTTTTTTTGTGGGCTGCTTGAGAAAACACGAAAACTTGACTTGTTATTTGGATGGGTTTTGCTTGGCTTTTACTCATTCTGTTTCCTAAAACTACAATTATCTTTGGCAGTGATTATTGATGGGGTCGGTCGACCTTTTCGAACCATGCTATTTATCTGTGAATCCATGACACTAATCATAGTAACATACCATGTCGTTTACATTTCTCATTTGTCAGATAAATGCTTTGATCCTGTTTATTCACTATCATACAAGTTGAATTCCTTACAAGCAAAGAACGAAGTAAGCTGTTGAATTGGTTTTTAATGGGATTATATTTTGAACTCTACAATTTTTGTAACCTACAGTACTGTACCCACTTAATTTCTGGTGAACTGACTAGTCACGAAAACTTTTATGATTCTGTCTACGCAACGTTAAACTAGATGTTTCAGACCTAAACAGCATGCTTTATCCAGTTTAGCTAAGGATCCAGTGGGGAGATGTATAGTTCAGAGGGCTTAAGCTCTGGTTGGAGCTACTACAGTTCGCCAAAGTCATGACTTGGCTAGATTCAAAGGCTAACCTCAAGATGCAAGACATGACATAACATATGAAGGATAACAGTCTTATCGCACACGTAAACTCATTAGGCTACCCATTTTTAAAAATTTTGTTTGTCGTCATCTATTGGACAAGTAAAACTTATATTGAAAATCTGCTCTTTCGGTAATATTGAAAGGTTTCAAAGATGTCAGTCCAACAAAACAAATGGGTACAGTACTGTAAATGGTTTGTTCAAACCATTCATGAAATTAGACAGGATTTAAAAAGATTATTGATCAATAATAAGTTTTAGTAAAATCTTTAGTTTTACTTAATTGTGCTTGATTTTTTCATTATTTATGTCCTAACTTTGCTTTCACTTTCTGAAAGGTACAATTGCTACTGGATCACATTGGACACTCTAATGCTGGCCTAACATTACTAAAAGTTGTTCCCATTACACCGACATTTGTCACTTCAATAGTCAGTCTGACTCTGACCATTGTAACAGCTTTTCCAAGCCTCTTGGAACTGATAAAACCTAGTTAACTATGGTTATTCGCCGTCGACAAATTAGCTCATTGAGATTCCATATATTTCATTGAATTTCTCCTTGGACCCGGAAAGGCTAATCAAGCAATCACACTCGCACCTCCATCTTAATTAATCAATAATCACGTCACTAGATACTCGAGCCATGATAATCTACATGTATTATCTAATAAAATTAAGTTAAGCACAAAACTGCACAGCTATGTAAAAAGATCGGTTAGGTAATATGAAATTAAAATTATTGAATCAATCAATATTCTCATTATACTCTTAAAATTTTAAATTTCATTAAAACCAAGTACAGGGTGTTCAGAAATTGTCCGGGAACTTTTTTTCTAAATATATTTTGAGAAAAATATTTCTTAATCTTAATTTTGGTTTATAGTTGATCCATAACGAAAAGGTAATTTTCTGAAACCATGCTCAAAATTCTAAGACCTTGCATACGGATCCACACAGGGAAAAGCACTCTTTGATAGCCTCAATAGCGCTTTTTCTCCATAAACTAAATCGTTGATTCATTGGATGAAGTTGATATGCTTTTGCTTTCTAGAGGGATTTCATGTCTTTTGGCGATAATTTGATGATTTTGGAGGCCTTTTCTGGTTGAGCAATGCTATTTGAAAAAATTAGCATTATATTAGCATGCAAATCGCCGAAATTTTTTTGTAAAATTTTTTGTGTTTAAATGGCTTGAAAATTTACCTTTGATCTAGAAATCAAGAAAATCAAAATCAAAATCAAATGGCATTCATATTTTTGCTTAGAATCCAAAAAAAGTTCCCGAACAATTTTTGAACACCCTGTACATATACTGTATATGATTTCCACCTGATATTGCCATTAATAAAGAGTAAGCTTTCCATATCAATTTAGTAACTGATTTCAAGATTGAAATCATGAAAGAACGCCGCTTGACAGATAGTGTGAATAAGCTGTTCCAAGAGAATCTCATTGTCTCAGCGCTTACTGGATGCTACATGTATTTTTTGTTTTTCAATATTAACCAACTTGAGTTCATTATCTGTGTACTGAAAATTGAGCAAATGTATCCCTAATAAAAATGGAAATAAAAGTTATTCCAAGGAGTCTCATGATCTCAGTCCTTGCTGTATGATTAATTTATCATATTATTGAATTATTCTTCACCTGCTGACGATGAGAACTCGATAAGTTTTAAATAGTATATAAAGATATGGCAAAACAAAAGACGTTACCGTTTAATCAAGATCAATGCTGTTTTTTCATTGACAATGACGTTAAATACAATTCCATGAAAAGGGAACTGCAAATATTAATAATTGTTCATCCATGTGAGTGTAATAAAGTAATTAAATGATCACACTCGTAGTCCTGAGCAGACAACTTTTATAATATAATAATAACATATTAGTTGTTTGGGATTGATGTTTAACAATATACCAAAGCATCGCATTATCAGAAAGAGAACAGTTCAGAACTTCTCCGCCTTAACGAAGTTAACGTTACACGGAGTTGTATCACATTTTCAACCAGTTTATATTAAATCAGATTCTTCTTCATCTCTTCATTTAAACTTCGAATTGATCAACTGAAATTACGTTTGTATCAAATGCAGAGATATAATAGGTATAAGACTTAAAAGTAAAGTCCATAACTTAAAGGTTGAGTGAAAACTGGAATTAGTTGGAATTCATTTCTGCCTCGCTAGACGATTCCAATTTAGCTTTACTAACGTCTTATTAACCGATTCAACAGAAGACAGAAATGAACTTCTTTGCATATTTACGATTGTATAAGATACAATTAGTTAAAACGATAAACTGTTTCATCACTTTTTTGTGCCTTGGTGGTTGCAGTACGTTACTTGGATCTTCTTTACTGGACATTCAAATACGAGTTAGAAAACCTTTCGATGTAGTTACTGGCCTAGTTCCTAGTCGGTCAATTGGTTACATGATTGGCGGAGTAGTTGGTAAGTCGAACCATGATTCTTTTTTTTCTGTAAAATTTTATTTGACTTCTTATCGTCTTTGATTGCCATCTGAACTTATACCTGACTGTAAGAGTTTTTGCGATGGACTGTGATTATCAATAGATCAGAATAGCTTCTAGTCTCAGATGATGCACTGTTCTACATTAATCTATTCTAAAAAATTTATCAGCTCACTTAGAGTGAATCTAATGATTTCTTGCCTGATACTCGAAATGAATGGCTTTGTCGAATAGTTGATGTTTCAGCAACCATTTTTGAATAAGGCTTATATACAGTACCATTTTTCGGCACCGATAAATTTTCGTTTTAAGCAAATCTTTAAGCATTCACAGATATTCACTAACTCATTTCGATTCATTTTTTGACTTTTTTTTGTGTATTCAGCTGGTTTTCTTGAAGGAAAAATCGAGCCAAATTGCGCTATGGGCTTTGCAGCTCTCTTTGGATCAATTGCTATTGGTTTAGCTCCATGGTTCACCACATTCAATCCAATCTATGCGTGTTTCCTTTTTTCCGGATTCTCCTCAGGAATACTTGATATATGTAAGTTTGAAGTTTTATTACCATTGATCATTGTCTCGACTTTTTTGCATGATATTCAAAAATATGTAATATTTTGCATAAAATATTGTTCCATCTTTTTGTCAATATGCATAACTTTCATTTAATACTTTTCTGTTTGTTAAGTCTGTAACGCTTACGTTTTCAATATTTGGGGTGATCAAGTGGCATTTTATATACAAATTTTACACTCATCTTTTGGCCTTGGTTCACTTTTAACACCTTTGATTGCTCGATCTTTTTTGTTGCCATCAACCAATGAAAGTCTTTCTGATGAAGCCATTTTTGCGCTTTACTCTCCTGACGACGTCAAAGTTCAATATGCTTTCATGATTATTGCTGTGACATTATTTTGCATCTCGTTTGGTTATGCAATATTTTATTTTATTGACAAATCCAGAAAGCAAATTGAAGTACCAAAGGAAGAGCCTGATAAACAGAAGCCTTGGAAAAAGTATTTATGCATCGGCATTGCTGGTCTCATTGCTAACTGCTCTTTTGGTATTCAAATGATTGTTGGTAAGTGTCGATATGAGACTATTATTCCACATGAATCGAACTAATTGATTGAAAATTGACTTTAGGTTCCCTGGCTCCAGCATTTTCAGTCAAAGCTGATATTCACATGACAAAACAAACTGGAGCAGCTTTGGTCTCAGTCTTTTGGATTTGCTATACATTTTATCGTTATGTTCACATTGGTATTGCCAAGATATTCAAAGAACGAAAAATTTTATATTGTAGCTACTTATTGACTATTGCCGGTGCTTTAGTGATGATTCCTCATGCTGCTCGTTACTCTGAATGTACATGGATCTCAATCATTTTACTCGGAATCGGCTATTCACCAACATTCACAGCTTCTTTGGCCATTTTACAAGAATATTTTTACTTATCAAATCGTTTACTCTCAGTCGTCTATTTTTTTGGTACCGTTGGTGAATCAATTCATCCATGGATCTTGACATTCTTCATGAACACTAAACCCATTGCATTCACGTATTACCTTGGCATTATCTCAGTAGTTCAAGTTTTTGCATGTTTCAGTCTAAACATGATTTGTGATAAAATCTTTAAGAAAGAAGATAGAAGAGATGTGAGTCGAACAGGTTCGATTCGATCGTACGCACGCTAAATTTGAATAAGGTCCAGGTTGAGTTTAGACCCTAACAATGAGAATTTTTAATTTTTGATTTTTATCCGTTTAGACTAACACTGTTTTGGCTAAGCGAGCTTCAGTTGAAAAGGTTCAAAAAAGGTTTTAGCTACTCTCAATTGAACCTTTCCAACAATTTGTAATCTTTGCAAAGTTATCTTTGAAAATAAAGAATCTGAAAACGTTAAATTACTCAACAGTGTTATACAATAAATCGCAATCTACTTCAACTCACAGGTTCAGACGAACCAGATTCCTGTTAAACCCATAGTCAGATAGATTACATCAAATCTACAGATAACAATTTTATCCTTTTATTGTACGTGATTATTTAATGCAGCTCTTAGTTGCTCAGTATTTCATATAAAATTTGATTCCAAGTTATTCAACTTCAACTCTATTTGTTATGTTGCTAAACCCTGTTACATATGAAATGAAAATCATTACAATGAATCAGAATACAGCTCAACTTTGGCATCGACAAAAGATTTGGTTAAAAAGTGTTGCAGTCAATTTGAAAGGTGTTTATGCGATTAAAAGTGTTTCTTTCTCACAGGAAATCTTGTATACCAATAAACAGGTAAATTCATTAAATCATCTTTTTTATCGATGAGCAATGATGATGATCTTTTGATAGGCAGGAATAAATGATCATCTCTCTGACTAAAGTGCATTATCGTTAATAAATGTTGATCAAGAACTTCTCACAACCCTAATCACTGTTATTAATAGCACCACTTAGCATCTTTTTATTTGGTAATCTGTATGCTACTTTAATCAGTGAACCAGAAAAACCAGAGATGCTTTAATTAATTAAAATGAAGTGATAATAACAAAATAAACATGATACTCCATTGACAACTTTCTAGTTGATTATCATCTTCAATCTATCAAAAGTATTTCTACTTAGCAGACTCCTCCTTTTCACCAGAAAAAAAAGACGATCACCATAATTTTCAAGAAGATTTTATTATTGTTGACTTGATTTCACTTCAAGTTATCACTATTTATTGTGTTTAATTGTGGCCTTATTAAGATTAACTTGTAAATCTAAATTGTGTCTTCACTTTGTACCATTGTAGTGTTGATCAGTCAACGGCTACTAGTTGTTTAGATTCTTAATTATGTGAAAAAGTCTCATTGTTTCTCAGCCTAAACACCATTTAGAGTTTTGCTTTTCAATCTAAACTCTGTAGTCACACATTAATCTCATCAAGTTTTGTTTTTGTTTTAATCAATGGCTTCTCTTTTGGATGAAATTAAAGCCAATAAGGTTAAATTTTCGCGAACATGTTTAGTCTATTTTGCTTTCCTTGGTGTTGGCTGTGGCATTTCAATAACAGGACCAACTTTACTTGATTTACAAATAGCTGTCAACTCTACTTTATCTGAAACATCACGTATTATCCAAGGAAGATCTGTTGGCTATGCTTTAGGTTCCATTATTGGTGAGATTCTGATGTTATTCAATTTTCCATTTCATCGACTCCTTACCAATTATTGTCTCTTCAACCATCTAATTACTTTCAATACTTTTATTACCATTCACTTAACCATTAGCTGGTTTCCTTATGGAGGCATTTAATGAGCAACTCGTTATGGGTGTTGCTGCCCTTATCAACGGCATTGCATTATCAATTACAGCCTGGAATCGAACACTTTGGGGAATCGTGATCACAATGTTTGTCAATGGCCTTTCAATGTCTCATGTTGATACAGGTAGGATGAAATTGAAGCGCTAGAAAAGCGTAAGTTTAACAATTGTCGCTCATGAAAGAAGCTCAATTCAATCTTTCACATTTAGATTACTGATTGTTACTGCTGTTAACATAGATTTTTATCGTAAAATGTGAGTTTTCAAGAGCAATCGAGTTTGTTGTAATCGAGGTTGAATCTATTGAGATTGAATTACAAAATCAAAACTATTGGAGCTTTTTTCAAATTAATTTGCCTCAAATTGTCAGTTTTAATTTTAATAAACTTGTAAAAGTGCAAATGATTGAAACCTTGAGCATTTATCAAATCAACTCAGACAGACGTTTGCCTCAAGTTGACTGTTGTTGGTGTTGCTTGGAAATCATTAATTTCACTGTAAAATCCATTTCTTTTTCCCTCCAAACTGGCAAGGTTAATTTGAGAAGCTGATTTCATTCATTTTTCTTGATTAATTTCGATAGGAAGCAACGTTTGCATTTTACGTTACTGGGGTCGATCAAGTGGAAGCTTTCTTCAGATCCTTCATTTCATGTTCACCACTGGAGGCTTGATTGCACCCTTACTGGCGAAACCTTTTCTCCTTGAGCGTCCAGAAGAAGATGAGCCTATGGAATCAACCTCCAACACTTCATTATCCACAACTCTCAACATGACCTTAGCTAATGTAACCAAAGAATACTCACCCGATGATGTGCTGGTTCAATGGCCTTTTACAGTCATTGGACTCATTTTCATTGTTGCCTCGATTGGTTTTATGGTGTTTTACTTTTTCGTTCCCTATGAGACCAACAATAATAATAGTGCGAACTGTGATGGTCAAAAGACTGAACGCAATGGCTCAAGAGGAGATGCAGATAAAGGAGAGACAATGAAATTAGATAGAGTCCAATCGAGTGGATATGAATACAATTTTGATTTCAAAGTGAAAATGCTCATAATTGCAATAATTTCTGTGTTCACTCATATTTACTTTGGCATTGTTATCTCATTTGGTAAGTATGAAAACAAACTCTATCCATAAATCATTTTGGATGGCAAACTGTAGTTTCGCTCATTGTATTTAGATGGATCATGTATCGATTGATGCTTTTGTTGAACATAATTACATTTAGGTGACCTTTAGAATCAAGTTTATCAGAATTGTTCTCAATTCTGTAATTTGATGTTTACATCATGATCATTATCATTAAGAAAACACTATTTACAAGATGCATTTACAAGCTGTTAGAGTCTCTATTCTTGATATGAATTTTAATCGATGATTTTTTTTCTAATTCAATTGTTTACCTTTTGAAATAGCCAATTTATTGCCAACTTTTGCTGTTAAATCAGCTCTTGCAATGACGAAAGGTGAAGCCGCTTCATTGATGACTGTGTTTTGGACTACAACTACTCTTTATCGGATTCCAGTCATTTTTTTGGCCAATTACATTTCTAATACAGCATTGATTCTTATTCATGTAATTATCATGGTAATGAGCACAGTTTGTTTAACCTTTCTTGGTGAAAAATATGTTTGGGCCATTTACTTGTTCACTGGTACAATGGGAATCGGTATTGGACCTGTCTTTGCAGGTGTTTTGGGTTACCTTCAACAATATTTTGAAGTAACTGGTAGAATAACTTCCCTTTTCATTGTTTCAGCCTGTATTGGGGAGTTTCTTTATCCATGGATAATAAGTCGCTTCTTGGAAGCGCATCCATCGGTATTTTTATATGTGATGTCGATTTGTTCAGTTATTGATTTAATTGCATTCATAGCTGCCTATCTTTTATGTAATATTGTTGTTAAAAAGTATACAGCATCGCAACCAACCAAAGTTATTACAAACCAAAGTGAACAAAAATTTTAAGTCAACCACCAAATTATCATAACATTAAGTTGTAAATAAACCATTTTATTGAAAGGAAAATGTTTCTTGATTATTTAATTGTATAATAAATATAATGATTGGAAAAGTTTTCAAAACTGATAACATGATAACACGGTTAAAATATACATACATATGTATGTATTTTTATAAACAGCGTATGGTTAAGAATTATTCAAAAGGTTTTAAAGAGTCGATTGGATGAGATTAAATTTCCAAACATAATGATATGTTGTTTACAGGGGCTTACATCAAACAAGTTTGGCATCTTTAGCCATACTATAAAATACAGATTTATCGTTTTTCAAAAGATTTTCAGGTGAATCGTGTTCGATGATTTGGCCTTTATCCATCACGATAATTTTGTCATAATCTAAGATTGTATTTAAACGATGGGCAATTGTAACAATAGTACAGTCTTTGAATTGTTCCCTAATTGTTTGTTGGATCAATTCGTCTGTTTCTACATCAACAGCTGCAGTCGCTTCATCAAGAACAAGAATTTTAGATTTTCGAAGCAAAGCTCGTGCCAAACAAACAAGTTGCCTTTGACCAACACTCAGATTATCACCACCTTCAGTAACTTCATGGTCCAATCCATTGTCCAAAGAAGCTACAAAGTCTTTTAGATTAGCTTGTTCAATAGCATTGTATATTTCATGATCAGCATACTTTTCAAATGGATCGAAGTTGCGTCTAAATGAACCAGAAAACAGTACAGGATCTTGAGGTATAACTGTTAGTCGCGAACGAAGATCATGAAGTCCTAATTGAGTAATATCTTCATCATCAATTTTAATAGTTCCCTCAATGGGTTCAATCAATCGGAATAGAGCTAAAGTTAAAGATGATTTACCAGCACCAGTTCGTCCAACAATTCCAACCTTTTCATTAGAGTTTATGCAGCAAGTGATTTCTTTCAACACCAAATCAAGACCAGGTCGATATCTAGTTGAATATTTGTTGAAGGTTATATTACCTTTAGATGGCCAGTCTTTTTGTGGTCTATGCGTAGGGTTAATCCATGAGGCCTAAAAATGAACAATCATAAATATGAGTAAGTTCTTATTTATTATTTTTTTCATGATTTCTCTATTCGAATCTTCTTCTGCATCTGAAAAAACATGAAATAATTGACCAAAAAAACTACTAATTAAAAATCATAACCAAATACTCACTTCAACAGGTAGTTTGGTGTATTCCAAGCAACGCTCAACTGAGACCAAATTATTTTCAATATTGGAGAACGCATGAACCAATGTACTCAAAATACCTGTTATTTGAGACGCATAACTCAAAGTAAACGCAGTTTTGCCAGGGCTCAAGCTTCCGCGAGCATTTATTGCAAAAATCACTGTTGATGTCACAATAATATTACCAAGAAATTGGAGTCTAATTGCCAGCCAATGACTAGCAGCAAGATTAGCTATAGATGTACTATTGTTTACATCGACTAATTTAAATATTTTGTGAGTGAATCTATCTGTTGCTTGATATGCTCTAATTGAGGATGATCCTGTGACGGATTCAGATAAATGTGAATAAACAGGTGATCGAGTAACTCCGTCAATTCGCTTTAGTTGTCGTGAACTTGCGATGTATACTTTCTGAAATAAGAGAAAAAGAGATTAGATACTTGCAAATTGAGTGAAAATTATTTGTTACCTGAATAAAAATGTAAACTACTCCAAGCACTAAAAGTACTATTAACAAGAGAGGAGTTTCCATGGATATAACTATAATCGCAGCAATTGAACTGAATAATTGATACACAAGAGTATTCAAAGTAAAACCGATTGATGTGTCAGCTGCATCAATATCCGCTGAAAATCTGTTTAAAATCCGTCCTGTTGGTGTTGAATCGAAGAATGACATTGGAGCTCGAATTAAACGTGATAACATTTTCTCATGAATCCAGCATGCACCATTAATGACTGAAATACTTAGTACCATTCTGCTGACAAAAGTCAGGATAGTTTGACCAGTACCCAGAAAAGCATAGGCTATAAGACGCTTATTACGCAAAGCCGTATTATTGGAATTGAAACGATCCAGAGAATCCTCTGACCAGGCAGTTAGCCACAAATTTGACCCAACACCAACCAAATGCAATGCAGCAATAAGTATTAACGTGGCTGCACAAGCTTTCACTCCGATAACCATGAAATAGTCAAAATAAATTTTGCTATTTACCGACCCAATTTCAGTATTTTCAGCTACAGTGAGTTTAGATTTATCATCTTTTGAATCAGGTTCCTCTTTTTTCGAGACCACACTTGAACTTCGAATTAAACTTGAACGTGATTTGCGACGACGAATGGACGACGTTAATGAACCACTGGTAGATACAGATCTGGTCAGTGATAACTTTTTCTCAATTTCAGGATCTAAAGCTTTTACAAAATCTTTTTCTTCAGGATCTAATTCCTCTTCTCGTTCAGTCAAATATTGTACGATGTAATCGAAAAATTCACCCTTTTTGGCCATCAGTTCACTATAAGTTCCGCTTTCGTAAATTTTTCCATCTCTCAAAACAACAATCTCATCGACTTGTGGTAAAAATGTGATTCTATGAGTGACCAAAAGTCGAGTCTTATTTTTAAGCATGCCTTTTGGTCCAATAACTTGATCAAACAAATGTTTAGCAACGTGAGCATCAACAGCTGAAAGTGGATCATCAAAGAGATAAATGTCTGAATTCGAGTAAACTGCTCGAGCAATTGAAATACGTTGTTTTTGTCCACCAGATACATTGATTCCTTTTTCACCAATTTCAGTCAAATCTCCACCTGCTAATATCTTCAAGTCTGGTGTTAAAGCACAGGCTTCAATAATTTGATCATATTCATCTTCCAAAAAAGGCTCATTAAACAAAATGTTGTCTCGAACTGTCGCATTTTGAATCCAAGATGACTGAGGCACATAAGCCAATTCACCGTAAACATTTACAAAGCCATGTTGCTTGTGTAAGTCACCCAGAAGAGCGGACAATAAACTAGATTTACCAGACCCGACAATACCAACAACAGCAACTAATTTTTTCTTTTCAACTTCTAGGTTTATATCTTTAAGGGTTGGTTCTTCATCAGGAGACCAGGAAAAGGTTGCATTCTTAACTTTTATTGGTGTAGAAGAATCAGAATCATGACGAATAGATTCAAAGTCAAGTTCATCTTCAGCAAGAAATTTATTTATTCTTTTGAGGGAAACCATAAACTGAAAAATAGTGAAATAAAAAAAGAAATGAATTAAAAACGCTTCTACATTGATATTTATAATTGAAAATTTGACACTACTTCAATACTTACACTTGCTCCATAAGTTACAACAATAGGAAGCATACCCAGCGGCATATTAACAAGATATACTAATGAAATTGATACAAAGGCTTTATTTGCATCAAGGATATGATTTTTATCAATTAATATATAAGTTGTGAAGGAAACGACTGTAAACTAATCATCAAAAAATGAAGAATGACAAAACGATTTGTTAGCATTAACATTTTAAGACTGAATGATCTTACCAGAAAAGGTATCGATGTAAAAGCAATCGAAATTCCTTCCATCCAAATTGCTTGAGATTTCAAATATTTGATTTCATTACGTCTTATTGCTGCAATTATATCACCAAAAGCGCCTTCCCATGCATATAATTTGAGAAATTTCATCCCGCTCAAAACTTCAGAGATTAGTTTTGCTCGAGAGTCTTTTTCTTTCATCAGAGTATGTTGACATAATCGGTATCGAGTTGAAAAAAAATAATTGAAAGGGGTAAGCAATGGTATAACTGATAGTCCTATGATTGATGAAACACCTAACTGTCTCCATAACAAGTAAATAGTAATCCCAAGTTGGAATGGTGCTGACCACAAAATGTTGACAATATTTACATAGTCCATTACACGTTGAGCATCAACAGACAATATATTGACCATTTCACCAGTTGAATAACCACGTCTTCCGAGATTCGAAAGCTTGAAAGTCTAAAAATATATTAATATAACTAAAAACAATCACTAAAAATGCAAGAATAAAAAACACGACTTATTTACCTTTTTATAAATTTTTGCAACGAGCGCTGACCTCAGGCGTATTGACGTTGTTTGTGTCCAAAACTCGGATTGTGAGTCGAAGATTGATTGTGTGAGTGATGAAACAAACATAGCAATTGCGATAATATAACCTTTCCATACTGGTTGATCAGAGACGGCAAATGACAATAAAGCATCCAATAATTGTGGACTAGCAAAAACCAGTAGACTTGAAAAAAGCTTGCATACGGCACCAAGAAGTAGAGTTGGCCAAAAAGATTTTAACAAAATCTTCAAAATGTTCACTTGATTCTTCTTCTGACCATCTTGATTGAATTTTGCTTCAACAGCAGTGATTTTCCTTTCAATGGCTAAAGATGTATTTTCCTCGCTCAGGTTCCATATATCTGATTCTTGGAGAGTCTTACGGTAACCTCGAATTGCCATCGAGTCAAACCAGGAGAAAAATAATCTACCGATGAACGATGAACTCTCGTAAGGGCATTCATTCTGCACAAATTAAATTTATATAGATATGTTAATTAACATCAAGTATTAGACCGATGATAAAGCATTCTATTTACCTCAATTTCTTTAGTGAATATTTCTCTTTTCGTATCAGGAAAACAACAAAGAAACAGTTGACAAAGTATACCAGAGGTTTGTAGTGATTTGTTGATGATATCAGTCTTGTCAAATGACCAAATGAATTCATCCTGCCAATTTTAAATATTGAGATAGTCAATTAATTAGAAAGATGTATTTAATTGGATAATTAATTAAATCTGAATACTTACATGATGGTTCAAAGTAACTATTAATGAATAAAAGTTGAATACAGAATAAATAGTCATAAGAAACCAATAAATGGTCAATGAGACTGGAGTGTGAACTCCTTTGAGTCGATAATACCAAATAAGCCATAATGCGAGAATCTATACGAGACGGGTTTAGATTAAGCATACAAGATAATCAGAATAATATGAATGAGGATTAAACACTAATTATAAAAGAAGCATTAAAGGAGATTAATAATAACTAATAACATAACACCTGTTTGGCGTTTATCAAGTCTAGACACTTTAAGACAACTTACATATGTTGAGAGCTTAATAGATGGAGTTACATAAGCAGTTGGATAGACAACTTGATCATTTTTTATTTCAATCAAAGAATCAATCAATTCGTAAATGCTCGATATAATGAGGATTGAACCAATAATCTTGGAATTAATTGAAAAGAAAAGTAAAAAATGTGAAGATTAAATTAAAATCTTGAATCTTAACTGTAAGTTGTTTATACTCACTAATTTTGAAATAACTAGTAAAGTCCATGGCAGTTTTTTGCATGAATCTGTTGATTTTAAAGATGAAACTGAAAATGGTATTGAAAGGTAAATGAAGAGTGAAATGATCCAAAGTAAAAAGGTGTCACAGAAACAAGGTGAGATTACAAATGAATCGGAGTTCCATTGTTCAATCAAATCCTGTTTAATTCATTAAACAAAATTATAGTTATTTAAAATAAAACTAATCTGAGTCAACAAATAAAAATTATTCACCGATGAATTGTAACCACAATATCCTGTAAGCACCATGATGGAACTCGATTTAGCTAAATTAATATGTCACAAGTTACAACAACAGTCATGTTTTTCCTCCGACCAAAGCTTTTAAATATTTTTACCTAATATTGAACTTGTTTAGATCACCGAAGGTTAGACGAAAATTTTTAATTATTCAAGCATTGGTTGAGCTAAGGCTTCGGCCGCTCCTCCAATAGATGGCTCTGATGTTTTCGTTAAAATAAGAGTGATGTGCAGGTCTGGAAGTGCCAAATTACCTGAATCAGATATTAAATGTGGAAATGAGTTCCCGGTCTTTTCATGTTTTAAAGGTCTTATTGCAAAAACTGTTCAATACTTTTATAAGGACGAGGACAAAAAGAATAGGGAAAACGGCCTAGCTAAATTTTCGTGGCTAAGACACATTTGCTAAACTAAATTTTAATGCAAAATCAAAATATTGGGATTATTTTTTGATATTCGAAGCCGTTTTCGAGAAAATGACCTTAAATTTTTTTTAATGTAAAACAAACTATTTTGGCTTGAAATCATCATGGTGATCTTGAATATTAAATCTGATTTTCGATATGTTGTGCAGTGGTGTAAATAACTCGAAAAAAGTGCATAAAATGAATAAAATCGTAGGTAATGATAAATTATACCTGAAAATATGTATAACACCGTATATGAAGCCAAACAGAAACTAGATTTTATTACTCTTTATCATGAGAGTTTATTATTAATGAAGAAAAATTTCAAGAAAAACCAGCAAAACTGGGTTACTCCTGACATTGTTAAATTCTATAACGGAAATTGATCTGCAGGTCCAAGAAACAGTTCAGTTGCCCTCCAATAGAAAGCTCTTATGATGTACAACGTGACAAATGGAAACCGAACGTGTTCGAAAAAATACTTTTTAATGAAAACTTGATGCTACATAGGTGTTTTTGGTATCAAAATGTAGGGAAAAAATAGCAGCGTTAGTGAGTAATGTTTTCAAAATGGCCACCATCACTTTGCATGATGCATTCGAGTCTGCGCAAAAACCCATTGATGACATTTTGGCGCATTTGCTGCGTAGCTTTTTTCTCTGCTTGTTCGATTGATTTTTGAAGTTCTTTCGCATCTTTAGGCTGTTTTGCGTAAACCTGATCTTTCATGAAATCGAGGGTATCCAAGGCCAATAACACGTTCGCCGAAGAAAGAATGTAAAGTTGAAAAAACCTGGCTGGTTCTGTGGGGTGTGGCATCATCCTGCATGAACCAGTGGGTGTTCTTGAATCCTTTCCTTCGAACGAATGGGAGAAACTTTTCCTTAAGTAAAGCATCATAACTTTCCCCTGTAACTGTGTTGGTAAACATTTCTATCTTTAGAAAATCGCATATTCTGCTTGTTCACGTAATTATCGAGGTAGAAATGGCTTTCGTCAGAAAAAATAACGTTGTCAATTTCAAATTATTAGCATGAATCATCGGAACTACCTCCCGCGCGAATGCCAGCCTCTTTTCTTTGTGTTGTTCTTCCAGTCTATGTCGCACTTGAATTTTGTATGGATGGAGCTTCAAAAACTTTGTTAAAACAAGGCGAAAGGTTTCTCTGTTCAATTCAAAAACAGCAGCAGCCATTCGAATGGATGCATTGGGATTTTTTTCAAAATAATCCTCAATGACGTCTAATGTTTCTAGTGTTGTAACGCTGTAAGAAGGACCCGGATTCGATTCACGCCTATCATCGAGAGTTGCATGTTCTAACCACTTATAAATGGCTCTGAAACAGTAAGGATAAAAGTAATTAATAAGAGAGAAAAAGCTGTTTGAAATTTCAAAAAAATTTCCTTACCTTTTGAGTGATGAATCAGAAGGAAGGTTAGCTTTTCCAAACTTCGTATGCATCGCACTAAATGCTGCAGTAGTCGATTTTTCTTTTGTATAGTATACCTCTATTAGGAAAATCTTCTGGTCGACCGTTAAATCAGACATAATTATCACAAAAAATAACAAAAATGCTGCCAACACACGCTGCGTTAACTTATTTGTTTGAAAAAATAACCGAAAGACTGCACTAGTAGCGGAAACCGCGGTCAGATACGTTCAGTTCCCATTTGTCACCCTGTAGATTGATGAAATCTAGTTTTTGTTTGACTTCAAGCAGTGTATTATACATATTTTTAGGTATAATTTATCATTACTCACAATTTTATTTATTTTATGCACTTTTTTCGAGTTATTTCAACAACTGCACATCATATCGAAAATTTAATATTCAGATTTAATATTCATGATAAGCATGATGATTTCGATCAAAAATAGCTTGTTTAACATCAAAAAAACTTAAGGTCATTTTCTCGGGAACGGCTTTCAATATCAAAAAAAGTTTATACCATCTTGTTCTCCATGCCGTTTCACAATCAAAAAAATCATTTCGGAAAAAATCTAAATCTAGGCCGTTTTTGTCCTACTCCTTCATTTGAGCACATTTTTTCATTATTTTTTCAATATGGGATGGAGATAGCAAATACAATTTGAGACGTAAAGAGTGCTCATTTGAGTTTTTGGTCAAGCATAAAAGCTATTTGCGCATTATTGGTTACAAATAAACAAGCATTAGATAGAGGAAAACAAAGATCAACAATTTATTAAAATTAAATTAAACACAATGAAGTAAATTACAAAAATCAGAGAAATGGCTTACATCCTTATCTTTAAAAATTAAAGCCTCTGACAAATTTTCAATAACTTTAGGCAAAATCAGTAATCAAAATTAGTTCGATCAATTTCATCAATCTCTTCTTTTTAAACAACTTCAATCAACTTTCACTTTTAGGACTCCGTCTTTTGACCTGTTCAGCAAGAAAACCACAAATAAAATACTACACAACACCTCTTTTTCGATGAAACTTGAGTCTTATAAACTCAAGAATTATATCAATAATCTGAACACCAAAACGATTAATCAGTTTGTTTTCAAAGAACACCAATTGCTATTTTCCCGTTCACAGAGATAGAAATTGAGAGCATCTTCTTGAAGATATTCACACTCAAAAGACAAAAGATCCATCATGTCCTTTTCAGACCAGTTGTACCTAATTGCGGTGGATTTGTAAAGCTTGATTCAATTTTCAATGGTAACGCTTTTCTTGACTCCGTTGAAATTTTGGATTTTTGGTCGGTATATCGGTTGCACATACACTGCGAGTCATAAGTATAACAACACTAGATTTTTTGATTTTACCGATTTTCAGGCTAATTAAGTAAAGTTTTGAAATATGATTTGGATTATTAGGATTAAAAGAGGATCAGGCGTCGGATAGTTGTCGGTTTCCGCAAGAAAGCCAATTGTAAATTAGCACAATTAGCTGTGCATCTGTTTTGCATTAGGACATAAGTATAACAACAGATTAAAATAAATTGATTTAAGGTCAAACTTGTTGCTAAAATTTGACAAAAATTCACATTTAAGATATGTAATTTGGTTCAGGTCTCGATTGGGTGAGAAATATTGAAGTAAACGGTTGATCAACATTAGATGAGGGCAGAAATTGTTGATTAATATCAACATTAGGTGGTTATAAAGTTGATGAATTATCACTCAATTGATTCATCCTATCGACTGGTAAGGTTCGCATTTAGATGGGTAAAATACAGGGCATTTCAGCTAATTTTACCGTTTTAAATTGACTATATCTTTGCTCCTGAGTGAACTTGAGGTGTGATATTTTGTTTATGGACATTTGGGCGATACTCAATTGTCATATTTCAAGGTCAAGGTGATTCAAGGTCATTGCGTTATTTGACCTCTGACTGATATTTAAAGGTCATTTTCTGAGAGCGCGAGAATTTTTATATTGTTTGATGCTTGCTACGAGTAGTAATCTCGCACCGTTGGAAAGATAAATGCA